GGTGGAAAGCCCTGGGCTCGGCGTGCGTGGCGCTTTTAGCGCTCCCAGGAGAAGCCTCCGACCGTCCTGTTTCTGGAGCCTGGCTGCATCTCCTCCCCTCCCCCTGCCGCAGTCTGGTTGGCTGCCGAGCGCCCGGTGCCTGCACTGGAACCGGGAAGGCGGAGGGGGGTGGTGGTATCGGAGGGGAGCAGCGCGGCAGAACGCCGTGGGAGCCGCTCACCTCCGCGGTCCGGGGCCTCCGGGGGTACCGACGTCGGACAAGCCGCTGCAGGCAGCCAGGTACCGCGCCTGCCGGGTGCGGGGCGGGGGAGGATTCCCGTCCGGTGACTGAGACACGGGCAGGGTGCCCAGCCGTCCTGTAACAAAGGACGGCTTTGAAGTGCAATTTCGGGCTAGAGCTGATGAAAACTTTTCTCCTTGGGAAGCTTACGGTTAGCCGGGTGGGCACAGGATTTCTCTGTGGTGATGCTGAGGAGGGGGTGAAGGGGTTTCTCGGGCTTGCTCGTCCCAAGGATACGCAGCGGGCGTGCCTCCTGCTGCCAGACAAAGCCGGAGAAACGATGACGGAGGCAGCATACATACAGCAATGGCTTTCAAACTTTCAGAGCCTTCTTTCCCCCAAAACCTTCCTCCCGTTAATAAACGGGTTACTAAGCTGTTCCGAAGTGGAGGTGCACCTTACTGAACGCGGGAGGGGGGACGGGACGGGGGGGCAATTGCTGGTAGGCTTCTGGGAGGGAGAGGCTGCGGCTGGGAGGAGGTGTCTGAAGAAGGGCTGGGGGATGGTGTTGCAGTAGAATGCTCTGGCCAAGCACCCGGGAGAAATTTGCACAATGGTGGGAGGCAGCGGCACATTACCAGCAACCGCAGGCTTCCCTGCACCCTGCGTAGCTGGCATCTGGCACTCCCTTGCAGCTCCGTGCGAGGGTCTCCTCTACTGCCCTTGGTCTCCTGTCTCCCATGCCACCTTGGAGACATGGAAAGCACCCGCCTCTGTGTGAGGGGAAGGAGGGTGGTGTTCAGCATGCATTGGGTCAAAGATCTGGCCAGCTCAGACACGGGTAAATAAACATGACTGAGCTTTGCTGTAATTGGCAGAAGGAGCAGGAAGCGCGCGTTCTCTCATCTGCTGTCTTGGAGGAATGTCCAGGTAGGAACAACAGTGTTAATCCCAAATACCAAAATGGCTCTTGGGGTACAAAGAACACGTGGCAAGATTTTTGACCTTGGCAGAGTTGTTGGATAAAGGTTTGATTTGCTAGGAAAGAGCTCCTCAAAGCATTCCAGCTGGTCAGGGGAGACGGAGGTAAAACAGATCCTTTGCTTATTATACAGGTAGAGCTTTGCCTCTGTGAATTTGGCTGCCTTGTTACGGTTTACAAGACCCGTTTGCTTCTGGAAATAATAGCTCAGTCTTGCAGCCTGCAGTCAGCTGTTTTTTGCAACTGCCTCAGATGTGCTGGCGGAGGGAGTGTGGGCACTCCAGAGCCCTTCAAGGTACACAGAGTGGCTCTAGGGCGCTTGCTGTTCCCAGCTGCGTCCTGGCCATCTCTCGTACTCCTGAGGCACATCCAGTGCATCATCCTCACATTAGACAGATGCCTGCAGAGGCACTGGCTCCAGGGAATTATTCTGCCTGCTTTAATACTGCTTCATGCTGTCAGGGCAAGGTAATTGCTCTCACTCTGTCTTTTATAGAGCGAGACTCCCAATCAGATTCTGAAGCTAGGAAGAGATGCTTGTCCTGGCTTCGTTCCAGCTGCTTAGCTCTTGTCTCTGCTAGCCTGGAAACAGGTTTTAATGGTGTTCCGCTGTAGTCCCAGGCACAGCAGATGCAGAATGGATTTGGTGAGCTGCTGCAGACATGAGCAAGAGTTTAAAAACAAGGTCTTATCAGCTGATCTGGAGGTGCTAGCACAAGCTTGATGGTGGGGGTGGTGAAGACTGCTGTTCTGGTCTGGGGTTGTAAGCAGCATGAGCTGCAACAAGGAGCAAAATGACTTTCTGCTGATGGTACCTGTCGGTGCTGTTTTGTTTTGGTGTGGGTTTTTTTTGTTTGTTTGTTTTTATTGTTGTTTTTTTTAACCGTTGTTACCTCCAATGTCTGTATTCTGTGATCGCTAATGAATGAAAGGAGTAAGACCTTTCTGGTCCTGAAAGGAATGAGTGATATGATACAAAGCCAACCAGACCATTGCCTCTGTCTTCCTCAGATCACATATGCTTATTGGAATGGGATCATCCTTTGGTAACAGAGGAATTGCTTGCTGTGGTCAGTCAGAACAAACCCTATCAGCTTTTGTCTTGCTGTTTCCAGCTGTGGGCTGGAAAGTGGGAGGGGAATGGGAAGTTCCTAGGTCTTTTCTGTAGTGATGTGAACCTGAGTCACTATGGCCAAGTCCCTGTAAAGTCAGCTTGCCACCACCTTGCCCTGGATTTCAGAAAGTTTATGCTACGGTGCATTTTCTGTTAGATTGTAGGTGGTGGGGAGCTGAAGCTTCTAGAGACGAGCGTTTAGTACTGAAAGGAAAGAGCATGAAGGGAGCCTCCTGTCTCCTTGCAGGAGAGCCCTTCCACTTGGGCTGCAAGTCTAGTTCCTTAGTCCTAGTTAAAAGCCCCTGGGGCTCTTGCAGCCTGCTGGTTAGCACAGACTTTCCCAACACAGGCCTTCTGGTATCTAGAGAAACCCGTGGAGCTTCACACTCAGCTAGAGCTGGCATGTGTCAGCTGATGCTGAAAGAAGCAATCCTGGTCTTGATCCCTGTCCAGGGGATAGGGAGAGCTGGGCTGTTTCCAACAGCACAGTCAACTTCTGAGTTACACATGACTCTAAAGCTTGGGGAAGCTGGTTGGGTGAAGCTTTTCTGGGTTTGGACGTTGGCTTTAAAACCATTTGAGGGGGTGCCTGGATGCTAAGGAGAGTCCTGTTCTTCAGGCATGGGAGAATGTGGGTGAGATGGCTTCTTGCCTCCAATCCCTGCTCTGCTGCTGGAGGTGGATTGCACTGCCTCTCTTGCTCTGGGACAGAGGGACCCTGTCCCCATGGGACCCTGCTGAAAGGAAGCATGTGCTGCATTCCCTTCCTCTGGACCTAGGGTTAGTTTCTAGTGCTGTGGTGCCTGGTCCCTTTGTCCTGAAGTGGTGTTCAGTGAAGGCTAATGTAATAAGGAGTTTATCTAAGGAATTCAGAAAAGGATTTTTCTTTTTTTTTTTTTTTTTTTTTCTCCTTCCCACATGGTTAAGCCATGGGACAGGGGTCTGAAGAACTTGTGGGATCTCCATTTTGGGAGATACTCAATCCTTGACTAGACACAGATGCCTGATCAGATACCTCCTTTGAATGAGGGGATGGACCAGAGACCTCTAAGAAACCTCTAGGCATCCCTTCCATGTCATACAACAGCCAAACTCTTTTGTTAGGGAGGAAGTTGCAACACAACAGTTTCTCTGTGGTACTTGAACTCATCTGTGTGTTGGTTTAACTCTCTAGGTTGTCTGCAGTGCATGAAAGGTCCAGGCTGGGGTTGGGAAAGAACTTTGGGCAGAAGGTTGAGCTCTAGGTGCCCCCCGTTTTGGCAGTAGGGTGGAGAAACTCATGAGACAAATGGGGGCAGAGGACCTCATGCACACCAGAGTTTGAGTGACATTTTTTGGCTTTGGGATTGCAGCTCACAGATATGCTGCGTACGAACTCCCAGGGTGCTGACCCCTGACTGATCTTCTCTTTGTGTGTTCTTAGTGGCTCTAAGGGAGCATGAGAGACATGTACCAGGCATTTCTGGCAGTGGTAACAAGCATTACAGAGCACCAGTCCTGCTCTGTGCCTCACGTGAACCTCAGCAGGCAAGTATCCCAGGATGGAGCCGTATACTGCAGTTATTCCACCAGTTCTTACTTTTAAGAGTCCAGCATTTGCCCTCTAATTTCTGGCTCTTATTTATGTTGCAGTTCTTAACGTTACCCTGAAGCAGACTGCACACCCATCTGTCCCTTCATTTGCAAAATGTCCTTCCTTTGCCTTTGTGTTTCTAAAGCCTTAACGTGTGTATGCAGCTGCTCTTAGCTGTGAAGTTCTTGGGCACCATACAGAGCTGATGATATTTCTTGTTTTAGTCATTTGGAGTGGCTCTGGAAATGCTGACTGTTGGATGTGCAGCTCAGCAGCACCAGTTCGTCCCTTTCCCCCCCTTTGTGGGTCTGTTGCAGGTGGCCTGGGGTGGTGACTCTGAGCACAGCGGCTATGGCAGTGGTGTGGCAGCATGCAAGTTTCCTGGCAGTGTTGTTATGTCCTAGCTGTGCAGTGGAAGCCTCAGAGGCTCCACGCAACTGACTGCAGCCTCCTACAGTCTGCCTTCTGACACTATGGTATCAAAATAAGGAGAAAACTTGTGCTCATGACATAGCTTCTGTGATGGTTGCAACCTTGGCACTCTGTTTGTTGAGGTTTTTTTTACTGCTTTTATTTTATTTTTCAGTGTCCAAGGTATTAGGTCGAGATTTTGTTGCAGTATCCCTTAGGAGCGGCGACTCAGCTGTATATCGGTGATCTCACTTCTAGCTTCGTTGGAGGTCAACCAGTCTTTCCAGAGACCCTTTATTCTGTTATTTAACAGTAATAAGCTGGCAGAGGTCCAAAGGAAAAAAAAAAAAACCCTCCCTGCTTTTGTCAAGTTGTTTTGCTTCCCAAATATATAGCCTTGCTGTTTCTCCAGGTAACAAAAGCGTGTCTCACAGCATGAGACTGGGATAATTATTGTGAAAATAAGACTTTAAGCCCATTGTTTCCATTTCTAAATGCTACCATTGCCATCTAGCTCCCAAATGTGGTCACTCATTCTTGCTATGGGTCAGACTTATTCTTTTCCATGGGAAGCTTTTTTTTCCAGAACCCAGCTGTTTTTCTGCAAAAAAGTATCTTTGGATCACCTTCTATAGAAGAGTTTGCAGCTAAAAATCTAAGCCCACTTCTATACAGAAAGTGCTGGCAAGCCATCTGCAGTTTGAAGGAAGCTGCAGTTATTGTCTTGACAGCATCACTTGTGCAAGTTGTGATGGTACCCTGTGTCTCACGTAAGCTTGGTCCAGGGACACGCAGGAAGACAGTGAAGTGAACTGAATTTGTTGAGGCATGTGTAGACCTGAAGTCTCTGTCCTGTTGTAGTTGACTCCTGATTTCCCTGGTGCTTTCTTCCCCTCCCCCCATGTAGTTTTCCAGCATTAGGCATCATAACCTAAGCTTTAAGATTCACTTGGACCCATTTAGTCTGGCATCCTTTTTTCTGTTGTGGCAGCTGTTGTGGGTTTCAGATAGAAGCAGTGGAGCTTCCAGCTCTTTCCTCTTAAAGCTCTTGCATGTGGGAGCAGTTTTCCAAGGCAGAAAAGTGGGCTGCTGAAATTGCTGATGCTCAGTGATTTCCCGGTTATGCACTTGAATACAGGAGGAAGGTTTTTGCCTGGCAGGATGTGCTAGCTGATGGATTCCCAGCTGATTGCTGCAACTGCCACAAAGCTCGGTGCACGCATGTTCCTTCCCTGTCTTCCTGCAGCACTCCTCCAAATGGGAGCAAGGGAGGGGAGATGAGATGGGTGTTGCCAGAAAGCCAGGCTGTTCTAGCATCTCACGGTAAATAAGGAAGCTATGCCAACTGGAGCAGAAGCATGCTGGTGGAGACCTGGGCCGTGACACTTACTGAGCCGTGAGGAATGCAGCAGGATAAACTAGGAGCTGAGCACTCCAGCTCCCAAGAAACTCCTTGGAAAAGCATTCTTTCCTCCTATTCCAGCCTGAACCTCCCCCCACCAAAGACAAATGATGGTGTCTTCCCTCCGCTCTGCAGGAACCTCTGAGTGCTTTTTCTGCCTGGATGAAGGACGCACTCGGTGCCCTTTGCTGAACATGTGGGAGTAGGAAGAGTGCTTATACAGCAGCCTCAGCCTGCCTGACCTTGGCGTCGGTTGCCATAGAGCGTGTTTCCTCTATGGAGGTCTGGGCACTGTGTGGACCTGTCAGCACTGGGCAGAGTTTGAAATAAGGCTCTGTAGGGAAGAATTGTCACTTTGGAGGGATAAGAAGTCAATTTCCACCAGTGTTTGTTGGTTTCCTCTGCTGTGCAAGAGGTAGCAGTGTTTAAGTGACTTCTTTGCAGTCTTCTCTCCATTTTATTGTTGGAACTTGGAAGTGAACAGCCAGTGTGCTGTTCTGAGGTTTTGCACCCTGTGTCCAGCCTGGATAGTGTCCTGTCTACCCTTGAACACTGGAAACGTGTTGGCTATGCTTCTAGGATGCGATTCTACGGGAGAAAGACCAGGCTTGTGTAGGGGTGTTTGCATAGCCGGTGAGAGAAGAGGAGTCTGTATTGGTATGTCTTGAGGATCTGAGGATATGCTTGCAGGGTAGGATGAGTCTGATGTGCTGTTGTTCAGGACGTTTTGATTATTTTCCCTTCTCAGTCTGAAATCTTTACAGTTCTGAAAGACAAGTTGATTGTGGAGACTGTGAAATGCTCAAAGCTTTTTGTGTTGGAAGGGCTGAAGAAAGACAGGATGTTG